AGAATTCGTAAAACCTTTCTGCGCAATCCGACCCCTTACCCCCGCCTCCGATCGATTCAGGAGAATCGATGGTCGGTGGGGTAGGGTTTGGATGTCGCCACCTATCATGGCAGCATTGTATACCTTCGTAATTCCGCTTTTAGAGTGCATTAGCGTCGACTAGCGTCTGGTAATCGATGAGATCGCGCCGATTTAGCGTTGATGAGTGTCAATTAAGCATCCAGTTGTGTAGACTAGCGTCGATTTGTGCTTATTCACAAGAGTCAACAAGATGGTATGGGAGGCTCTCATGAATTCCCGCAGAATTCATCCGTGTCCACGGCCTCGCGGACCGGACCCTTGGGACGCGACCCCGCGGACACGGGGGCGTCTTCTTTCGCGGATGCCCCGCGCGGAACGTACCCATGCGTCAGCGTATATTTGTTCACGGGATCGCGCCCCCAGAGTTCAGGGTCCGTCGATCAGCCGGATTATCGGGCCCGCACCGCCCCCGCCCCCCTCGGATAAGTTGACCTTGTTGGTTGCGCACGTTTGAAGGAGGTAATTCCCTACCTAGGCTCTGCCTAGAAGGGTTCTTACTCTCTGAGCTTAAAGGGGCCGGGCAGTGGAACCCGCCCCAAGCGGTTCCCCCGGGATCCGCCCCGCGGTTCCCCCAGTTGCGCCCCCTGGGTTCACCCAGCTTAGCTTAGCTAAGCTTAGCTTAACTTAGCTTAGCTTATCTCATCTTAGCTTAGCTTAGCTTTGCCTAGCCTTGCTTAGCTTAGCTTAGCTTAGCTTAGCTTAGCTTATCTCGTCTTAGCTTAGCTTTGCTTAGCTTGGCTTGGCTTGGCTTAGATTAGCTTAGCCTAGCCTAGCCTAGCCTAGCCTAGCTTAGCTTAGCTTACCTTAGTTTAGCGCAGCGCAGCGCAGCATAGCGCAGCGAAACATTAACACAGCACAGCATAGCATAACATAACATAGCCAAGCATAGCATAGCATAGCATAGCGCAGTATAGCATATCATATGAAATCATATCATTGCTCAGCATAGCACAACGCAGCATAGCATATCATAGCACAACATAGCATAGCATAGCATTGCATAGCATAGCGCAGCATAGCATATCATATCATAGCATAGCATAGCGAAGCATATCATAGCATAGCATAGCACAGCCTAGTGCAGCATATCATAGCATCACATATCACGGCATATCATTGCTTAGCATAGCGCAGCGCAGCATAGCACAGCATGTAGATGTAGATGTAGGTGTAGGTGTAGATGTGGATGTAGGTGTAGATGTAGATGTCTATGTACATGTAGGTGTATATGTAGGTGTATATGTAGATGTAGATGTGAGTCTCGCTGTTGATGTTGATGTAGATGTAGATGCAGGTGTAGATGTAAATGTAGCTGTCGGTGTAGATGTAGATGTTGCTTTCCTAAATGCTCCAACTCCTAGGTAGGGTCGCACTGGGATGATTACGTAGTACCGGTGCGCGCGGGCATACGTGGGGTTGCCCAAAGCGAAAAGGCTAGGTTATCGGCCGCCCCCCCCCCTTCCCCCCCATAGGATAACCCAGGCGGTCGTCAAAAAACAGAAAACCTCGAGATCCGACGGCGCGAAACAAATGATACATCGAACAAACCACGGCGGGACCCCGAGACCCCTATCTCTCTGCGCCATCTTTCGAGCCCGATCGATCCGTGAGGGCCCCAGGGTCCCAAACCTGACGAAAACGCCCGACTCGAACAAATTGACACGCCAGGAGCTCAGGGAACGATCTCATTTCCGCCTGTCGCTTGCCGTGGTTTTTGGGCCACATCTCGGCTATCCGGAGGCCGTTCGGGGCACTCCAAGACTCCCCTGGAACACCTTCGGTGAGGCGCAGCCGTTGGAAGGCACCCCGAAGGAGAAAAACCGCTGAGAACGTTTGGAAACCTCGCCGCCCCCGAAGTTTGCACCTGGGCAAACGTCATCGTCCGCCGCTCCGCGGAGGTGGAGGTCCGGGACGCCGGCGCGGCCGAGGCCGCCGTGGCGCCGCAGAGGCCGCCGCCCGCGGCGTCGCGGCTCCTCTCCCAGTCGCGGTCGCCGCCGCGGCGGCTGGACGCCGCGGCCGCGCAGCGCGGCGGGGCGGCGGGCGGCCCAGCGGGCTCGGCTCCCAAGGATCGGGCGGCGAGGTCTATACATATCCACTGCTCCCCGGCCAGGCCCATCCTGAGCTCACGAGCTGTGTATACGCCCTCCTGGCCAAGCCAGGAGGGCGTGGCGTATGCACCGCTGCTGGGTTCAGGCTGGGCCTGGCCAGGGAGCAGTGGATATGTATAGATTTCGCCGCCCTAAAGGACGACCCGGGGATGTTGACCTGAGCCGGGCGGAGGAAGAAAAAGGTGCTGATGCCGCTGCCCCTCCCACGTCGAAACAGGGCCAGGGTCGCCTCGAGGTCCTGGTCAGAGCGCAGCCTTGGAGGGGTCTGGGGAGGGGCGGCATCGGCACCCCTGGTGCAGCCTCCTGAGCCCCGCAGCGCGGCGCCGCGGGGCCCCGCGGACTCGGCGAGGGCGGATCCCTCAGGGACGGCCTGGCCTGGAGATGCAGACCTGCGCGAGGGCGCCATCCTGAGGTGGAGAATTATGCACACGACCACCGCCCGGAGGATCGATGTTCTGCGACCTCGACCGGGAGAAGTCATTCCAGAGCGTTCCCGACCGCTCTCAGTCCGTTCGGGAGCGTTTTGGAACGGCCGCGGCGCCCGATACATCCTCCAGAACCGCCAGATCTCAGAGATCCCCGATTTGTCCTGGTCCGATTTTCTCTTGATTTTAGCTTTGTCTTCAGGAGGACGTGGATGAGCACCCAGGGGGAGTAGGAATAGAAGGAGTAGTAGGAGCTAATAGTAATACTGAGTGTATATGTTATCATGTTTATGGGTGGTGGTGACACCTCAACGTTGAGGTTAATATGAGGGACACCAGGTGTGCATACAAGCGTTGAGGTGAACATGGAGGTGAAGATAGTGATGATGACGATGATGATAGTGGTGGTCATGATTGCTGGTGATGGTGATGAGGATGAAGGTGAGGATGAAGAGGATGAGGATGAGGATGAGGATGAGGATGAGGATGAGGATGACGACGAGGATGAGGGTGATGAGGATGAGGATGAGGATGAGGACGAGAATAAGGATGCGGATGAGGATGAGGATGAGGATGACGACGACGGCGATGACGATGATGATGATGATGATGATGATGATGATGATGATCATCATGATCATGATGATGATGATGACGATGGTGGTGGTGGTGGCGATGGTGATGGTGATGATGTTCATGATCATGATGATGGTGGTGGTGGTGATGATTGATGGTGATGGTGATGGCGATTGTGATGAAGATGTGGTGATGAGGATGAGGATGAGGATGAGGACGAAGAGGACGACGATGATGATGCTGATGAGGATGTGGATGAGAATGAGGATGAGGGTGATGATGAAGATGAGGATGATGACGAGGTTGCGGATGATGATAATGGTGATGATGATGATGATCATGAGGATAATGATGATATTGATGATGATGAAGATGATGAGGCTGATGGTGATGATGCTGATTATGATGATGATGACGATGATGATGATGATGATGATGGCGGTGATGATGAGGATGATGATCATCATGACAGTGAGGATAATGATGATGTTAACGATGATGATGATGATGATAATGATGACGATGCTCTTGCTGCTGAAAATGGTGACGATGATGTTGATGATTATGACGATGATGCTGCTGCTGATGATGGTGATGGTGATGATGATGCTGATGATGATGATGATGATAATGAGGATGAAGATGTGGATGAGGATGATGATGTGGATGAGGATGAGGATGCTGCTGCTGATGATGATGACAATGATGATGATGATGATGATGATGATGATGATGATGATGATGATGATGATGATGATGATGATGATGATGCTGATGCTGATGATGATGATGATGCTGATGCTCATGCTGATGCTGATGCTGATGATGCTGATGATGCTGACGATGCTGCTGATGCTGATGCTGATGATGCTGATGCTGATGGTCATGGTGATTGTGCTGGTGTTGGTGCTGGTGCTGGTGCTGATAGTGGTGATAGTGGTGATAGTGGTGATAGTGGTGATAGTGGTGATAGTGGTGATGGTGATGATGATGATGATGATGATGATGATGATGATGATGATGATGATGATGATGATGATGATGATGATGATGATGATGATGATGATGATGATGATGATGATGATGATGGCACGTCAGTGAATTCGAGCATTCAGGTGAAGCTGGAGTGGAGGCGCTGCCACGGAGGCCTCCTGTCTGATGTGGACCCACCCTCGTCTCGGACAAAGCGACACAAAGCGCCCCGTGGACCCTAGCCCAGATCTCTTCATCTCGATTTGGGCAGCTGGTGTAGGGGCCGGAGACGCGGTCAGCCCCAGCCTTGGACGGGGGTGCCCAGGCCAGGTGCTCCCTGGTGATTAGTGTTGTGTGTGGGTGTGGAGCACGTGCAAGTGTAGGATAAATCAAAGCATCCGCAATACAGCTGTTCATACAAGTGTGTTGTTATTTTAGGTTTTGGGGTGATTTGGGGTGATTCGGGAGTCGATGGGGCTTGCATCGCTTATCATCGAGTGCTCCCACTCTTGACTCTGCGAATCCATACAGAGGAAACTTCTCTGGACGTTGTGTGAGAGCATATGTACATTATCGCTCTCCCTTGCCCGCATCTCTCTGGTTCGCCTCGCAGCCCAGGCTCTTGAGAGTGAGGCTCAGCCCAAGGACTTTGCTTCTGGATATCCCACCTTATCCCCAAGTACTTCTGGCTTTCTATGTTGTCACCTTGGCGTTGCCCGTTGCTGGTGGTGGAGGTCTGTGTCTTCCTTCTCCTCACCGCTTGTTGTCTGCTCGTTTGAAGCACTTAGATTATTTGTCAGATTTTTTGTCTGATGGCCGCCAGTTTTTCATAGCGTAGGATCGCAATGTGTGCCATCTTGCGGTACAGGAACATGTCGGTGGCCTTGGCAAATCAGAGCCTTGTGGCAGTGAGTTAGCAGCACCCAGCTTGAGGGCGGAGTCAGTACTCTCGCGGGCCTGATTTGCCTTGGGCGACCGACGACGCACCAGGCCCATCTTGAATCTCAAGCCTGGTGCTACCCGCTCCCGCCCTGCAGCACACGCGGCGCCAGTCAGGAGACTCAGAGGAGGGCGACCTGAGACAACGGCAGGTGGCCTTCAGAGGCCCCCTCGTCGCCACGGCTGGACATGCCTCGGAAAGTTGGTGCGCCTGGATCCCGGCAGGGGTCTGGTCGGGGGACCGACTTCGAGTTGCCGTTGTCTCAGCTCGCCCCGCTCCGACCAGACCGCGCGGCGAGTGGGCCGCAGCGCAGCGGGCTTGGGCACGCCTCCGGTGAAAAGTCATCCTCGGCGCGTCCTGGGCAGGGGCGCAGGTCCGGGTCGAGCCGCTCCGAGAGCGTTCTGGAACGCTCTCGGAGCGCTCTGGAGCGCTCTGGAGCGGCCGCGGCGCCCGATGCGTCCGCCGATGTCCGCTGGACACCCCTGCGCCTCGGAGACATTGGAAATGAATCATCTCTCTGTCTGGCGTTCCGCAAGCAGCCTGCCTGTAGGGGCTCTATCTTCGGCTCGTAAGATGGGCGGGGGGGTCGTTGCCAGCCCCAGAATTTGCGACTTCATGTTCTCCCGTAAGGTCTCCTGGGGGAGGGGTCGTGTCTGGCCCTGGAATCGGTGACCTGAAGGTCTCCTGTATGATCTCCGCGTCTGGCCTCTCCGCATTGTCTCTTGTATTGTATCCTGAATGTACAGTACAGTAGCTTGACTTGGTTGTTCTTTTTCATTATGCTGCTTACGGTCGAAGCGCACAGTAAGGATGAGCGATTTTCCGAGGTTGCCCATGCATCCTTCCTCTTCGGCCCATCCTTGGCCACTTTCACTGGCCGTGCGCCACTCGAAAGGTGTCGACATGGCCATCCAGGGCCCTTGCATCCTTGTCGTGCATCCTTATTGTACGCGCTTGCTTTGATGATCAATTTGTGTGTTTCATCGTGCTGTTTAGAGTCTTCTGCCGCCAGGGTGGGATGTCTTTCTGCTGCCTTCGTCTGATGGGCCACCCGCAGGGGCATGACGACGATCGCGGTTCGCGGCCTGGGCCCCGGGGCTGCCTCTCTCCAGGGGCCCTCGCAGAGTCGCGCAGATGACCGCACTTCGCGCGGCACCAGCGCGAAGTAAGACGACCTCGGTCTCTCACGAAGGCAACGACCACTTACAGTAACATACAAATTCAGAGGTCCGCGCGGGCCTCTGATTTGTTATGTGTATGCCATTATTGGCTCCCCTACGTGTGGTGCTTCTCCTCTTCTGCGCGTGCTTCTTCTCACCTTGATCTGGCCTGAACCCGTCTCGGTGCAGCTGAGAGATGAAGCCTGGCGCGAGCATCTGCGCGAGGGAGGAGGGCGAAGGGCATGATGGCTGCGTATCCGCAGCTCGTGCCAGGGCAAGGACGTACGAAGTGGGGGATATGAGATGAGGCATCGGAGCATGACAGGGAGGAGGAGGAGGAGGAGGAGGAGGAGGACGACGACGAACAGGAGTGGAGGAGGGCGACGAACAGGCGTCGAGCTTGTCCTGCCCCTCCCCCTCCCCATCTGCCCCATCCCCTCGTCTCCCCGTCCGCTCCCTCCCTGCTCACCTTCCATCACCTTCCTCTTGCCCCCTCCCTCCTCCGTCCCGCGCTCCTCCCTTGCCGCAGCCACGGCCCGCGCCTAACGTTGGGAAGGGGTGGCCATCCGAGCAGTCGTGCAGGCAACAGGCCAGTCAAAACGTTTGGAGATACCTCTTCCGATTGGCGGTGTGCATTGAGACGTGCAGTTCCACAGAGCAGCCCAGCCTTTCTGAGTGAGGTCTTAGCCCAGGTCGTCCAGAGTAAAAGCGCGCCGATTTCTGCTCTTCGCGCTACGTGATCTGGACCAGAAGGTAATGTTTTTCTTGGAAGCGGCGCGAGGGCGCGAAGACCTACAAGCAGTGCGGAACTGTGTGGTGAGTCAGAGGGGATTTGGGGTGACCGCGCGATTTTGGTTTTTGGGTCGTTCTGCCAGGATGTCTCGGGCGGCTGGGGCCTTCGACTAGGCCCCAAAACCGTGCGGTGACGGACCGTGCCGCGTTTCGCGCGAAGTTGGGGGATCTGTAACGCCCGAATTCAGGATTCCAGCGGCCGAGCAGCAGATGGCCTTGGGTGTTCGTGGTCGCGTCGGCGCAGCCACGTGGCTAAGATGTACCAAACGACGCTCGTGGCAAACTTGGTGCACGCACTCGTCGTGAAAGAGTGTCGAATCCTGCGCACGGCGGCGACGCGGACACGGGCGTTCAGGTGTGAAGGGCCAAGGCAGCATCTGGGACCTTGGGCAGCGGATGTCGTTGAATGTTGGATGGTCAACCCTGTGACGGGAACCGCCGCCCACGCCGTCATGATAGGAATTTGACGCATACCAGTTTTCAGAACGACTCGTGCAAGCCGCGGTGAATCGAGATCTTGCGGTCGCACTCCCGTCGAACAACACATATTTTAGATAAGGGAATGCCCCTTTCGTGGGTCATTGATCCACGACGATCCCGCCTTCTTGGCTTCTCTTTTGCGCCCAGGCCTACCTCTAGCCTAGCCCTATTGTCTTCCATTGATGTTGCCGTTCCTCTCCCGCGCTCGCTCCTACCTTGTTACTCACCGTCAACACTTCCACACCTGCCCATCCACCCCTCCCTGCTTACCTCTCTCCCTATCCGCCTCCCCTCCATCTCCTTCCCCCCCCCCTCCCTGCCTCTCCCCCCACCCCACTCCTCCACATGCGCATCCCCCCCGCCTGCCTCCCTCTTCGTCTGCCTCTCCTCCAGCCCTCGGCCTCCAATCATCTCTCCTCCCCACCTCTTCCCCTCACACCCTCCCTGTCGCACTCCGTGCCTCCATCCCTCCCCCTCCCCGCAGCTGCCCAGCCCTCCGCTGATCTTGACGACTCCGACGTCTGAGGCGGCTTACCGCCCTGCAGTCTCTGGGGCCGCACCCATTCCCATTCCCATCTCTCCCCCCTCTTTGCCCGTCCATCTTCCGCCCTTCCCCCCCATCCAAGGGTGCGCTCCCCTGGCCCTCTGCCTGCAGGTGGGCCGACGGCGCCGGCGCGGCGGCGGCTGCCCAGTACGGCGGCCCGCTGGCCGCGTTCCTTTTTCTCACCTCCTCTTCCTCCTCCTGCTCCTCCTCCTCCTCCTCCTCCTCCTCCTCCTCCTCCTCCTCTTCGTTGTCCTCGTCCTCCATCTCCTGTATCTCCTCCTCGTCCTCCTCCTCCTCCTCCTCCTCTTTCTCCTCCTCCTCTTTCTCCTCCACCTACTCCTCTTTCCTCCATCTCCCCTCCTCCCTCGTTCCTCGTTCTTCAGCGTCCTCGTGCACATGCCACTCGAACGGTAGCTCCTTGTCCAGTGCCCTGTTGCCCTGTCTCTACCCCGTCGTCTCCCCCTGCCAGTTTGACGGGTGTGGATAGTGTCATCCCTTGTGGCTGTTTGGCTCAAGGGATTCCTGTCCGTGCCCGCCCTACTCGCGCCTTGTACCATCCTCCTTATGCGCCGCGCTACTGACAAGTACGCCTTTCAGCTGTACATCCTCATTTCTAGTTGGTAGCGGAGCAGGGTCGCCCCTGTTCCCTCCACTGCCGCCATGTTTCGCTCCGCGTCGACCGCAATGGCTTCCACCCTCCGCCGCATTCGAGTTTCCACCTTCAACATCATCGTCTTCGTGCACTTCCTCCCCATCGTTCAGGCAGGACCAGTGACCAGGAACGTGCACAAACAGTACACTATCAATGACAATCTAACCAAGATCTACGAGGACCGCTCTGCGACCCACCCCGGGCGTGTCCCGACAGTGTCCAGGCAGTTCTTGGACCCCAAACTGTCAGTGCCCCCCCCGAGGGGGTAGCTTCAGGTGTTGGACAGTTATTCGACGCAGCGCTCACATTTGCGGTGTCAGAACAAGGTCCTGAGCTCCTCGGGATTGGGTCTCGAGAGCCCTGGAAGAAGCAATCAGGGAAGAGGCACTCGGCGATTATGCCGCCGGCGCCGAGCGGGGAGGCAGTGGGGGACATGACGACTGGGGCGCCATCGCTTCGAGGCACCGCGCCTCGGGACCCGATTTTTCGCTTTGCCTGCTCGGGCCCGCCAGCTGGGCAGGACGGGATCCCGATGCGCATTCCCCAAGACGATCGTGTAATTCTAGGTGCTCAGTACAGTGGCCACGCGACGCACGAAGAGCACTATTCATTCCCATGACTGCGTCGCGGGATGCTCCGAATACCGCGAGCATTCCAGCGACGCGACCGGAGCTGACGCCCAATGCGCCGATGAGGAGGAACGCGTCCAGGGCAAGTATCCTCGGCGACTCATGCAGCGCCGCTTGAGGACCCCCGGCGCCCAGCACCTCTACGACCGGTGGAGGCAGCAACACCCCGGCTAGATGGCCATCGGAGTTGGCCTCTGTGCCATCGCAAGTTGCATCGCCTGCGCGGAGGCCGGCGGCGGCTGCGGCAACATGCGCCACCTCCGCACCATCGGGGGCCGGGAACCAAGCTCGCACGCGCCCGAGGCGATGATCAGGTCAGTGGCGAAGTCCGACCTCGAAGAGTTTCGCCGGGAGCCCACGTGCCGTCGCGCCTTACCGGCATGGCGCGCGAGTGCGTGGGCGACTGGCGCGGGTGGCGTGGTGGGCCCCGACTTCCGCGGCGAGATCAAGGCGATCATGTCCAACTCTGGCCCGTAGACGCAATTGGTCGAACAGGGCCATGGCGGCGTCGCCCAACTCATCCTGGAGCGCATCAGCAGCGATGCCGAGATCGTGGTCGTTCCTAACCCTCCCTCGACCTCTCGCGGATCTGGAGGCCGCGGACACACTGGCACGACGTTCCTCACCCGGGACTCCACCGC